CCCGGCACACAGGAGCAGACACAGAAAGCAGACTGCGAAACTGACATGGGTCTTAGGGAAGTCATATCAGAGAACAGGGAAAGAAGGAAGCACTGGGGTAAAGGACCACATTCATCCTGATTTAGGGGCTCACGACATTAGCCGAGGAGAAGAGAATTTCCAAATTCCTCCAGCTCAGGGGAATTTAAGCCTACTTTCCTATAACTAGAATCTTTGGAAACGTGTTTTAGTTTTTCTTTTTAATAGGCGATAATCTAATGCTTTCCCTTAATTTTAAGGAAAAGTTTCCTGAGGACATCTCAGTTTTTCCCCCTTAAACCTGAGGTAAAACAGCAGCAGCATTTCTAGCTGGTTTGGGCTAGAAATCTAAAATGATGGATGTGACCATGGCTGGCACAAGTGAGGGAGCGCAGCTGTCTCCAGGGGGAGGATGGGATCCACTTGAATGGAGCTCATCTGTTCAGAGCTTCTCGCTATTGCTGTTGCTCATACTTCGGAGGATTGTGCCTGCTTTACTATTTAGTGAAGCGGCTCATTCTGGCTCTCTAATCAGATCAGCCACATTAATGTTCAGTTCTGTACATGTTGGCCTGAAAAATCCATCCCAGTTTCAGCCAGAATAAGCAGACTGTTAGGTTCTTTTCTTTTCTTTGTTCTCCTTCACCTCAAAAAGACAAATACTTCTCAGAAGCTGACACTGCCACCAGGGCAGAAGAAAAGCCTATGTCCTACCTTCTAGCCACACGTGACTGTTTAAATTGAAAATAAAATGCATTAAAATTAAGTTCAATACAAATTCCTTCCTGAGTCATACTACCCCCCTTCGGTGGCTACACGTGGTTGCTCAGCGGCTACTGTGCATAATGTCTTTTCAACACTCTGGAAAGTTCTTCTGACATAGAATTCAAAAGCTGTCTTCATCCCACTCAATCCTCTCTTCAGTAGCAAGGGACTCTGTCTGGGATTGCCCAATTTTCTTGTGCAGCCAAAAAATATAGTGACAATGAGATGATGACACTGACTGACATTTAGTTAGTATGTAACAGGGCCACACAGTGTGCTAAGGGTTTTTAATATGCATTACACCATTTAATTACCACAATCATGACAAAACACTACTGTCATTTCCATTTTCAAGAAGTTCCCTAAGACTATAATCATACAAGGACCAGGCTGTATGGATGACACTGCCAATATTCAGCTGTTTTTGATGAAAATGGCAATTTCATATGGTTCAACCTCAGAGGAAGTAGCAGAACCAAATTTAGAATCCACGCCCAGCGGGGCGTGGTGGCGCAGGCCTGTAATCTCTGTAATTCCAGCACTCACGAGACTGAGACAGGAGGATCGCTGTGAGTTCGAGATCCACCTGGACTACAAAGTGAGCTCAAGGCCAGCCTGAACTGCATAGAGAGACCCTGTCTCAAAAAAGACAAAAAAAAAAAAAAAATCCACACCCAAGTTCAACGCCAATAAACCTGTCTACATGACGGACCTCCTTGAACTTAGCTCACAGGGAATGGAAGGATTAAACAAAACAGTATCGGTTCTGTGCCTGGTACACAGTGACGCTCTTGAAATGTTTTTTTGTTTGAACTCTATTCTGTCAGTCCTAATCCCCGGGAAGCAATGCACAGCTGTCTGAGCAGATGTAGCCAGCAAAAATGGGAGGAGGAGGACCGTAGCCATTTACTAGATCCCAAGCAGGGGCCTGGAAAATCCCATTTTTGTCCTTAAGACTTCTCCCAACCCTCTCCCAACCAGTCTCTACTCTTTCCTCTTAGGGAGTCTGTTCTGCAGGGCAGGTCTGGGTCATCGTTCTGTTTCCTCAATCAGAGGGGAGGTGATGAACCTTGGGCCTTCCTATTCTCTGTGCCCTTTAACAGCAGCAGAAGATGGACTTCATCAGCAAAGCCCCCACCTGGAGACCGCAGAAGGAACATGGAGGCGGGAAGTGCGTGGAAGGGCAGCTGCCGTGTTGAGCATGTCAGGTGGTGATCCAAGCTGTGCTCGGGACTCTGCACATTGCAGCTGTATTTGCATAACTGTATCTGCCAAGGACACAACCCTTGCTAACTCCACATTCCTCCTCCTTTTGAAAAGAGGAAAGCGAAGGCTTTCTTGGCTGAGGGAACTGCTATTAGGGTGGAGTGTCTAGGGCTTGGGGGTAATTTTCATCCATTGTGGAGGAAACTTGGTCTCTCAGAGGCAATTGTGTAAGGTTGGCAGGTTTAGCCAAGGAAAATATAGGATACCCAGCCCATCAGGTAAGCAACAATATTTTGCAAAAGTAATGCCACTCAATATTGGGTCGTGTTTCTATTAAAAATTATTTGTTGTGTGTGTGGTTTGAATAGTCTTCAAAATCCAGGGGTTGCCAAAGTAGTAGTATTAAGAGGTGGGGCATTTAAGAGGTGATTAGGCCACAAAACTCCACCCTTGTGAATGTAATCAAGGCCTTTACAAAAGGGTCTTTGTGTGGAGTTTGCTAAGTCTGCCCTTCACCATGTTTGGATATAGTGTTCTCTTCTGGATGATGCTATAGTAAGGTCCCATCTTGAAAGCAGAGGGAAGCCCTCACTCACCAACCAAACCTGCCAGCATCTTGATCTTGGATGTCTCAGTTCTGAAAACTGTAAGAAACAGACTTCTGCTCTAAAGTATTCAGTCTGACGTAGCAGCACAACACAGGCTAAAAATCCTTGACACCCCCGTACATTCCTTAGCACCCTTACACAGTAGCACTCTGTCCTCCTTCCGATGCCAGGTCATTTATAATGATGCTAAGAACCCTTCTGAGTAAGACAGAGGGAGAGAGATGAGCACTAGTTTGGCCAGCTGCTGCTTGGTTTCATAATCACAGCTCCTAGCAGGACAGGCAGAATGAGGTGATGTAGATTTCATCCTCTCAAATATGTGTTCCTGGTACCAGTAGTATTAGCATTACCTATAATGTATTAGCAGTGCAGATCCTCATGCCCACCCCAGACCCAGGGCCAGGGCCCAGCACTGTCTCACCCACTCCTGCAGGTGATGATGCTGATGCAGTGGGTGAATCACAAGTTGGACTTGGCTCAAGATGAACCTTGGGGATCAGATGAACCTGCGCTTAAGGCTCAGTCCCATCATTTATTGGCTCTGTGAACACAAAGTACTTTACCTCTCTAAGCTTCTTTCTTCCTAATAAAAACCCAGTGTCTTATTTAAGACATGTTTAGCATTACATGAAGTTGCTATATACTATATATACACTCTGCAGTGCTTATCATTGTAAAACATGCAGCGATCACTCTTATTGATGACACAAGTGTGTCTCTAGTTCTGCTCTGGACAAAGTTGGTGATCAGTATTGCAAGCTCCAGTTATAGGGTCAACTTAGTTGCGTGCTTAGTTGAGACGGGCCTTTAATTTGAAGACTGTGATTTCTAATAGCCCTGTGGCAGGAGAAAGGAGTTAAAGAGAAAAGTTGGCAGGTGACGGGGGAGAGGGAGAAATGACCAACATCCTATGTGCACTGGTTTCTCAATTCAAAGACAGCATAGGGTAGAGTCCCTTTGTGCAGGGCTTAGAGCAATTGCTCAAAAGTCAGGTTTGTTCACCCCCTTTGGTGAAAAAGATAGGGAAAGGGAACCTTGGAAATGAGGAGTGGGGCTCTTTTTGAAGGAGCAGGGAATTAATACATTGGGCATGTTTCATCAGTCAAACTGGGGCTGTTGTATTAAGTTTCTCAATTTTGGCATTATTGAGATTTTGAGTTGGGTAGTTTGTTGTTGGGGGAGGGGCTGTCCCATGCATTGTGAGATGTTGGGCAGAATTCCAGGCCTCTGCCTCCTACAGGCCAGAAGCCACACCCACCTCCATCCTCCTTCATAGTAGTAACAATCAAAAACACCTCTAGTCATCGCTGAAGGTCCCAACTGGGAGCAAAAATGCCTTTAGTTGAGAATCACTGGTCTAGAGAGTCTATTAGTACCTATTTGAGCAATTTTAACAGCTATCACTTATTGAGAATTTACAAATAATTCCTCTATTCTACACACTTACATTATAAAGTATGTTTTACTCCCTGCATTTTACCACTGAAGAAGCTGAGGCTCAGGTTAAAGTGACTTGCAGCAAACTATACAGCTGGTAGACCTGGGATGCTGACTGTGAGGTTGATCTAACTCCAAAGCTCCACAGTTGTTGCTGTAACACTCCATCTCTTTAAGATATTAAGACTTTGAAGTCAGGTGTAGAGAGCAGTTGAGCTGGAGATCAACCACACATTCAGGGTTAGAGCAAGGCCAGCCCCGTGAACGTGGAGTACCAAAGGCGAGGCATGGAAGCAGGTTGTTAGGACTAGAGCAAAGCTAGTCCAGCAGGTGTCCGGACTTAGTGTTCCTCCCTATTAATTAGCACGGATAGCTCTGAGAATGTTTTGCTTTCAGTGTTCTCAGCAAAACACCAAGACCTTGCACTTTTGACTCTGGCACGTGCTTCCCCCCTTTTTACTGTATATAAATAAAGATGCGGACCATGCTGGGTTGTCACTCCTCTCCATCAGAGAGGTCAGGTCCCACTTGGCCTCAGCTTTCCTTTTAGTATGTGTCTAGTTCTTTCTTAATCTCCTGCCACCCCCTCTCAGAACCCCACTGGCTGTGTGGGACGCAGCAGTAAGGAAAATCTTCTCAGGTCAACTTAAGTTCAAAAATATATATCAAGCCAGAGGCCACAAGGAGCTAACAGAAAAAGCCAAGATTTTGCTTTCTTTCATGTTTGTTCAATTTCAGTGTCATTGATAGGGTGAGATTCTCACACACAACACAGTTAAAAAGCAATATGAAGTATTCTGAGTTTGGACCAAAATAAGCATTTTTAGAGGTACAGATCTGTGAACTGAATGTCTTTTGTGTATGCCTCTTCATGTGTCCTTTTGAGGCCAACTGTGAAGCAGGAAGAGGAGGAGCAACGAAGCCTTGAAGTTCATGGGATCCACCAGCCAAATGTCCTTTGAAGTATTAGTTCTCCTGCCTTTGGATGGGCTGTATATTGCTTCCAGCCAAGCACTCAACCATCTTCTTTCCAGCTCTCTGCATGAAGTTCACCTTTCCCCTCTCTCTGCGTATGGCTGTGTACTCATAAGCTTTGAGCTTGCTGTAGTAATCAGAGAACTTGTTGTAGAGGATGGAAATTGGCATCCCGTTGAGAATGATCCCGAAAGCAATGCAGAGGAAGGCAAAAATCCTGCCTAAGTGTGTTTCTGGGTACATGTCTCCATAGCCCACCGTGGAGATGCTCACCTGTGGAGCAAAGAAGGATGAGATTGTTAGCACCGTGAGGGAGGGGAAAGGGAGAGAAGCAAGCAGGGAATCTCCTCTGTCTCTCTGCAGGTGCATGGGGTGAGGGGTGGAAGGAGTGTAACAGTTTCCCCAAGGAGGAACAAGAAAGTCTGCCTGCAGGGACGGTGTCATGGAAAGAATGCAAGCTGTGCAGCTGAAAGACTGGTTTAAATCCTAACTATAACTCATAACTGTTCTTACATCTGGGATGGGGAAAATAATACCTACTTTAAAGGGTTGTCCTGAACAGTAGTTAAGAGAACATATGTTGAGTTCCTGGCATAAAATGTGCTCAGTAAAAGTTGGTCTTTGTTTCCCTATCTCCTCTGACCCCAAGTTAGGGCCAGTGTTAGGGGCCCCTAGGGTTTTCCTGGATCACATGTGTGCTAGAAAGGGCTGGGGCTTAGACCCTGTGAGTTCAAGTCTGACCCTTGTGAGCTGAGAGACCAAAGACAAAACATTCGGACTCTTGAAGCTTTGTTTGTTTGTTTTTTGACTAAAATAGAAGAATGCCAGCTAACCCTCAGGATTCTGGTACAGACTGAAAAAAAAAAAGAATATAAAACACTCCACATAGTACCAGGCACATACAAAGCATTAAGCTCTTCCATTTTTCCTCCCTTCCTCTTTAAAAGGAAGACAACTGTGAATACTTTGGATGAGGCCTTTGACCTGAATGTGCTTTAACTACCACCATCTAGAGAGGTACACTCTGCTGTGTGAAGGGGCTTTTGGTGGGGTGAGGCCTTCCAAAATATGATCATCCTTCATGAAATTCTTATCATTCTTCTCACACTGCTTCACATTCCCTAATTAGAAATGTATTTAGGTTAACAAGCTTCTGTAAGTGTAGGTACCCATGGGATTAGTTATCAGTGTAGCCAGAGAAAATCATGGACAAAAAAATCTCCTGGGGTCTTTTTTTTTTTTTTTTAATTCCTCATGTGCTTCTTTTGGTCTTCAGGTATTGACTGAGTTACTTAAAGTCTCTAAGCAAGGCCGTTGTTCACACTGTGAACACTGCACAACTCTAGGGGGTGCTCATTGCTCTATGAATTTGTGTCATCACTGCCACGTTTTTCCAGGAGATGGCAGTAATCATACAAAGTCATCCCACTGACACACTAAAATAGCTTTTAGTTTAGAAATATAAACAGTTTTTGTTTTGATGATGCAAGGATTTGTTTGAACTTTCAAGTCCTGATTGACTGATGAGAATGCAGTGTAGAAATGAGCAGTTGTGCAAATCTGGAAGCAATGATGAGAACCACAGCTCAATCGAGCCCATAAACAGCAAAGATGTGCCTTTTGGGGGGACAGGTGAGACACCAGACCTCACTGCACCATCGCTAGTGAGAGACATGTTAAGAGATGGGCTACTTTGCCCACAGTGGAAGAACGCAGGCAAGCATGGAGGAAGCAGGGTAGTGGAAAAGAGGAGAAGGAAACAGGCACCACACTGGACTTCCTGTGTCTGAACCTACTTCCCAGCTATGCGAGTTGAGTGTGTCATCTGAATTCTCTCTGTCTCAGTTCCTTTTGACCTATGGGGAGAATAGTACCTACCTGAGTAGATCGTTAGAGGAACTGAAGGAGAGCCTAGCACTGTGCGTGTGAGCAATAACGTTAGTGCACACATTACATCTATAAGCAAATGCAGGGGACCTCTGTCTTGCAGCTGGTGGCAGCTGAAGGGAGGCAAAAAGCAACACTTACAAGGAAGTTTGTGTATGTTATGGTTATTAGATGCAGAGGCTGTAGGAGCAGGCCTCTCCCTGACTTGCCTGGGAGAGGAGTGCCTGATGGCTCTGGTGGAGAATCTCCTTTTCCCAATTTCTAGGCAAAATGGGGATGAGAGGCAAAGAAGAATCTAATGGTTGCAGCTGTGTGTGTTGTCCCTGGCCACATCAATAGTCAAAGAACCTGGGTCAGATCTCTTTCCACATGTGCGAACAGAGCAATAACTTCCATCTGTCACAAATAGCATCCCTCATCCCTCACATAACTGCCTAGTCAGCTCAGGTTCCCTGGAGAAGGCTTGGGAGTTTGGATGTAGAGGTGAGGGGCAGGAATGGCAGTTTCAGAAATGAAACATCTAAGAAAGACCAAAGGAGAGGCCTTGCAGGAAAGCAGCCACTCAAGGCTGCAAGATGTAGAGGGTAGGAAGAAGAGTGGAAGGAAAGAAAAGAAGGAAAATAATTAAGACAGAGTGATTATTTTAAACCTTTGCTTAATCCCCACAGTGGCTTTGCTTTACCTCTAACACCAGCTTACGTGTGTGTGTGTGTGTGTGTGTGTGTGTGTGTGTGTGTGTGTGCACATGCACGTATGTGTGGGCCTGTGCTGGTAGAACTTTGAAAAGTTGAAAGTAAAGAGAATTGGCTTAAGAAGAGTAAATATTTGATGTACGTAATATGCCCTACATGTTTTTGTGTATCTTGGATCTCTCATTTTAGAAAAACAATCTCTTGTGTTGGAAGGCTGTGTATGATTGGTCTCCAAGAATTTGCTCAAAATGTAGTTAATTTATGTGTTGTCTGTTTGTGGATAATTTGATTCAATAAATGATCTGTTTCTTGCTCCTTGGCTCTTGAAGGAACTCAGATTTCCTTGGAATTATGGAACTTTCTCTCCAGATTTTGTAAGCCAAACTATTTCTCCCTAGATAGGCATTAAATACTGAAGGCCCCGCATGACCCAAGTGGTCTCACAGAACCAGTTCTCACATTAGCAGGAACTGGGTTTGGAAACATGAGTGAAATATCCGCAGTCCATCTTAGTATCTAGATTAACTGCCTGGCTCAGTCACTTTGTAACTTGGAAACTCAGCATGTTGCTGAAAACTTACAGATTTTCCTTAACTTTGGGCCTCAAAAGCCAGCAAGTGACCGTCTCCCAGCAACCCACTCACTAATCAGCGAGTCCTGACCTACCAGACATTACGAGGCCAGGCATTAAATTTCCCTCTGAACCTTAGAACGGCCATACTGGGGTTTCTCATCTAACAAGAAATGTATATTTCCCCATAAAGATTCATGCATAACATCCTGCCACACAGTAGTCTTGAATGTAGGAATTATGATCCCAGGGAATAAAATCATGTTTTGAATAATTAATATACCTTCTAGCTTTCCCAAAGAATTGGAGATAGTAAAGAATGACTTTTACCTAAAATTATTATATACCTGAAAGCATATTACCTTCCAAAGGAGTCAGTTTTAAAGGTCGTACAGATGTTCCTCGTTTAATGACTGAGTTTTTTTCCTGTGGCTAGGTTGTTAAAACAAACTGGTCACTAAGTGAAATACATATATTATATTATACATACATATATATTTCCTCAGAACAAAGAAGTGGTCAAAGGAAACTTCAACTTGATGACTTTGTTTTTATTTGCATAACTCTTACGTGCAATGTATAACAGAACATAAAGCTACATTATTGTACTGTATAGTACAACCAGCAAAAATTACAACACTGCCACTCACGTCCCTGTGTTGTAAGTCTGAATGCAGGTCGTAAGTCTGAATGGCATGACTTGGTCTTAAGCCCAAGCACTTGTTAAACAGGGTGTTAAACGTGGAACATCTCTACTTATTTGTGTTACTGTTACAAAAAAGTATTTTTGGAATTCCTCTTTTGACTTATAATTTGCACAAGAGTCACCAGCAAGACTGTGACGCAAATGGCCATACCCACCTTGAGGGGTAAATGTAGGTAGTAATCTTAAATTCAAGTGTATTTTGACTCCTTTAAAATACTGAATGCAATGTCAAAAAGGTAAATACTTCGAACCATTATGAAGAAAAAGATGGACATGTCACAGGCTCTGAAGGAAATTCTTCAGTGTTTTGTGGTGAAGCACTGTAAGAATCAGGTCATGGGTGGCCACCTTGAACAGAACAAGCCTCATCCAGGCATTATAGTTGTAACATGTATTTATATGGCACAGTGAGGAAGAGGACAAGCTACAGTGAAAAAAAAATATGTGCAACAAGTGGGTCTATTAGTCCAGTCACAAAAAGGCACAAAACTGATGTCTTCTACATTCTCTGCTTATTTGGTACTTCTCCCTGTACTGTAAGTTCTATCGTGTCCCAGTGAAGGCATATTGGACAATAGGAAGAGCATAAGATAAAGACATAAAAGGAGACCACTCTAAAATCAGGACCAAAATGTCATGTTTACTTACAAGTCTTTCCCCGTTATAACTCCTGTGCTCTCTCTGAAAGAACTAGCAGAACTGTAACACTTTGGTGCCAGGTATTGCCTCCTGTCTCTCAGTTCCAAGTCTGACACACTTCTAGAACTCTGTAGCTGGGAATCTGCTCATTTCCTTACCCAGGTTCCCTTATCTGCTGTCTTCGGATTATGTTCTGCGAAGGAGATGTATGTTTGTGAGACTGGGAAGTGGGATAGGACATAAGAGATTCAGTTGCTCTTTCTGGTTTTTACCCTCTTTCCATAACAGCATCTAACTGTGGCCCAAAGACTTTTCAGCACTCCTAGCAGCAACCTCATAGTTGGCATCTTACAAATCTCTGCAACAATTACAGAGTCCACCAAAAGTATATCTATACACACCTCAGGAAAGAAAATTAGTAGGATTTTTTCAACAGATGGTGCTCCCCTTGTATGGAGAACCCCAGAGATGTCGTGTACCTCAGAAAACCCACTACACTGCCGGCCCTTAGCTAAGACACTGAAAATGCACATGCAGCAACTTCAACCACCAAGGTTACCCAAGCAGCAGTTCGCTGTACTAATAAATATCTGGAAGTGAATGGCCACCACTGTGAGCACCTCTTGTAATTGTAGAGGCCAAGGTAGGTTGAATTAATCTCATTATGTCACAATAAATTTAATATTAAAATATTTATAGAAGTTTATCTTTTTCTGAAGTGTGTGCATATATATTTTGGCAGACTCTCTATAGAGCATCCCCTACTCTGTGCTCCTAAATTCTGATAACGCGACCTTCTCCCATTTGTTCTCCTAATCTAAAGCTGATAGCTATGGCTTATTGTTGCTATTTGTGCTCTTTCAGACTTCCAATACCTATGTATCTATTTCTCCATTTCAAAAACCCACCTTACCTTGTGTTCTCATTATTGTCACGTGGCTAATTCACCTTTCAAAAAGATCTCTTCAAACCAATGGATGAAAATACATTTTGGTGATCTCGTGCCAACTATTGGTAAGGAAGTGAGGACTCACTTTAGGAAAGCAAAGGTGGGAGCAAGGTCTCTGGGGCACAATGATCTGGTACCCCGGCGTGAGATAAATATTCTTTTTGGGGAGTTTCTGCAGTAATGAATTCATGCCATAGTTTCCTGTTTGCTTTCTACGACTTTAACTTTTTCTGGAAGACTCAGAAGGCAATGACTTTTTGACAGTCTAATTGCCCTTTTCTACTTAAAAGCACCCACACAGGAAGCCAATGGTTACAGCTTTATCATAGAGCTAATTGTTCTTGTTGAGTTGTACCATGCATTTCCCACTCCCAGACAACCCAGAGAGCTCACAAATGTCTGGAGCTGCTCCAGGCGTGGCCTGTTGATCTGCATACACAGAAGCTCTCCCAGGAGAGAACAGCTGATCCTTTTGTATGTTTCATAGTCTCTCTTCCTTCAGCAGAGAAGAAATCTGTTTCAATTCCCCCAAAATGAATCCGAAAGCAAAGGTTATTGCTTCCATGTAATAAAGAATAGCAACTAGTCAGATATTGTAACTGCTATTTATTACAGATGTACTAGATCCTAATGTCTTGCATATTTTTCTATTACATTAGGGCTCACAAATGACCTCTGACAGATGAATAGGATGGGTCTTTCTCACATCCTAATGCACGAGCATTTACAGGTGTAAGGGTGCATGAGCAATTTGTTTTGTAGCTGTAGGAGAATACATAATAGTGAAACTGACTGTATTTCTCCTCAAACCCTGAGCTGAATTATAGAGGAAGGATTCTTTGCATAGAAAGAGGCAAGATTATTACAAGCAAGTCAGATTTAGGTTGTGCAGAATGTACAAAAAATACGTAGAATGGAGTAAAGAATCTGTGTCTCAGATTCTTTAGGGGATCAAGATTCCACAAGGACAATAGCTCTAGAGTAGGGCAAGAAAAACGCAGTCATTTTCAAAAAAAATTTCATCTTGATATTGTCAATTTGTAAGTATATGTTTTCTGACAAGTACAATGTATTTGAGCAGTCATATAGTACCACAGTAGAATGACTGTATCACTAGACTTGATTCTTTGTAACTTCCTGCAGCCAGGCTGTTTGCTATTTATTTTTACAGTGCTTTTCCTATCATAGGTGGCTAACCTGCCCCACCCCTTCACTGAGTGTGGCCATGTGACTGGCTACTTGTTGAGCAAATACGAACAGAAGCAATACAATGCTTGGGTGATTGGGCCTGTACTTTGCCTTTTCCCATTTGCCACTGACATAGGTACAATTGAGGGGCACGTTGCCTCCATTATTGTACTGACCATCAGACATAAGAATGAGTGATCCCAAATGAGATGAACCTTCCACTTAAAACCAGACTACACTGCTCACTTTTATACTCATGCAGTAAATGAATGTTTTATGTTTCAAGCCACTGAGCTTTGGAATAGTTTTTGATACATTGTTACTGTGGCAAAAAATAACTTGTGTATTTATTTATAAGTGATTTATATTTATCTGGGGTTCATGCTCAATTTTTAGAAACAATTTGAGTTGTATAATCAACAAAACACTTGGAGACCCCTGGGTCCAGAGTGACTTTTAGGACTCCATTTCTCAAATGCTCATCACCATTTAGTCATGGGTGTTCAGGTGAGTTTGTTCTCCTAATTGATCAGTCTTGCATTCTTACAGCTGGTAATCTGAGCAACTTCGTTGAAGATAAAAATATGTAATATAACAACCACTGTTAATGCCTGTCATTTTGTTCTAAAACCCTGTATCATTCTTATTGTTTTTGCTTTGTTTTGTTTTTGTCTATGATGTTGGTATTCTGCTATTTTTTATTCTCTTTAAAATAAAAAAATAAAAAAGAAAGTTTATCTCAATGTCATCCTCTCCAAGAGGGCTTCTCTAACTATACCTTCAAAGGGTGAGTCTACCATCAAAATCACTATGCAGTTATCCTACACAAGACATACCAATATCTGAAATTATTTAGTATCTGTCTCCACTAGAATGTAAGCTCCATGATGGAAAGATCTTTACCTTTTCTTCCCCTATCATTCTATATCCTTAGTACTTAGAATAGTGTTAGCATACGGGAGGTGCTCAGAAACTTGAATAAGAGGGAAGGATTTTTGTGGGTTGTATGAGAAATTTATCATAGTATTCTGCATCATATTCCTTTGCATCTACATATAAGCAGCAACATATTTTGTCTGTATCACTTTCAGTTTCTTCTTTCCTCCTTGCTGAGAAAAATTCTCAGTATACTGTGAAAGTGACCAGAAGTACATTGATTAATAACGCCAGTTCTGGGGAATAGAGCTTTCATAGAATGCTTAAGGAAAAGGACTCCTATTGTGTTCATAGATTCACTTACAAAATAATACACATTATCAGTGATTGATCTAATTCATTATGATTTATACTGGTATAGATCTCAGAATCAAGTGAACAAAGGTAGTAGTAAGGGGCAAGTTTAGAAAATGGGAAGGTTGAAATGTGCAAAATTAGGTGAAAATATGAAAATATTGTCAAGAGATAATGGCACAAAAACAAAACAAAACAAAAACCACTTCACAGTGATAACAACTGAGTGATCATTGAACTTCCGTTGTAATTTATATAAACAACACTGATCTACAGTGAAATTATTTCAGTTCACATAAATAGGGAATAATGTGAGAGTGAAACTTTACTGCACATTATACAGTTCACAAAATTAAGTAGGTCAATAGACAATCATTTCAGGAAATATTTTACAAATAAAAATCCAATATTAGTAATGCAATTTGAATATGGAGATTTATACTAATACACAAAAGATTGTTAAAGATTTTAAAAAGAATTGTGTGTTAAAAGTAATATAAAAAAGTTCCCCAGGTCCAGTGCCTACATATGCTAGCCCTTAAAGATATTTGGATGCCTGAAAATTTGAACTTTTTCTTATACCATCAACACATGGATTTGCTTTTTTGCCTTCCTGCTTTAGTCACCTCCAAAGCAAATGTCATTTTCTGGGGACAAATCATCGTCCACAAGCTCCATCTGTACACACGGTTTATCTGCTATGGGGATGACCTTTCATTGCTTGGAATATGATCAGAAGAGCACCACTCAACTAGTTCATTCACAGGAGCCTAATAGCATCCTGCACTGAAGAAAGCTCACAAGTGCTAGTATACATACAAGCTCTCTCCTTTCAAGAGAAGGGAGACTCACTGAACTGCAAAGCTGTACAAGTCCATCTCTCCTTTCGCAGATGCAGAAATGGACAGCAGGGCTGAGGGAGTGTGGTTTCACACTTGCTCAGAGCCACATTTAATTATTGGCAGATTTGAGACTAGAAACTGGTGCTTTAACTCTCCTATCATGCCCTGGGTCAGTTTCCTTTTAGAATTTCACACCGGACTGTGGGTTCTAACATAATCAGTGGTAATATTGAAAATACCTGTGTTCTTTTTATGTTTTCTTGATATCTTGAAAAGCATTACAATCTACTTTAAAACACACCAAGAAAACACATCTAATTCTTTCCCATGTATGTCAGTTTATCTATTGATCTGGGAAGACCTTGTTAGCATTTATCTGCAGGGATATAGCTAGCATACCAGGAATACATGTATTTAAGTAAATGGCATAGATGATTATAAAAAGGCAAATACAAGGAGACCAAAGTAACTAATAATGTAACTGACCAAATTAGATTATTCAGTTCACAAAATTGAAATTTGAAAGAACCAAAGCTTGAAAGAGACAGTGCTGCAGTGAAAAGGGCATGTGTGTTGGAGTGGGGTAGATTTGCATTTTACTCTCGGCTCTGCCACTGTTAGCTGTGCATTTACACTCAAGCTCTCGCACCACATTTCCTTTTGCTTTAAATTAGACCATCTTACCTGGTTCTGAAAGAGCATTAGGGACATTAGAGCTAGTTTCAGTTTTAGGCGCTTCTTTCCATATTTGGATTTAACCAGAAGCAGAAGCAGTGAGATTTCAGGTCAGGTCAACATTGTTCAGCCAAATCTCACCGCCTTCCCTGCATAAATCTATCGCTTCCTTCAAAAATTGAAGCTACTTCCTATTTATCCTTTGTTAAAAAAAAAATGATAACCTGCTCTCATAGTGGAGATGCTTAAATAAGATTTATAAACCATTTAGGACATTGCGTGTTCAATTTTTCTTTTTATTTTACTTAAACAAGCGGTTATTCATGACGGTGAAGCAGCAGCCCACATCCATGAATAGTAATCTGCCTTAAAGCCTGGCTGTCGAGCATTTTACACACTAAATTTGGATTTGAGGATTCTTAGGGCACAGTCAAACTTCATTACTTATTGAACTACGGGGTCTCTCTCTTTCCAGCTCCTCACCCTCGCCCCTCATTTTGTTGGCTGCAGGCAGGGACAGGATGAAGAGCGCGGCGTTCTTTTGCAAGGGAGGGGAAAGACTCCGAGGCACGGCTGAAAGCTAAAGACCAAGGAGAGGAAGAAGCAGCAGCAGCTTCTGCGGGGGTGAGGACGCGGAGGGCCAAAGTCGAGGTACTCACGGCCGCCCACCACCAGGCGTGGAGGATGCTGGTGAAGTTGGTTCCGGGCACGTCATGCTCCACAGAGTAGACGGCGGCCGAGAAGGCAAAGATGCCCATGGTGATGAAGAGCATCAGGCAGCCCACCTGCTGGTAGCACTGGCGCAGCGTGAAGCCGAAGGCGCGGAGCCCGGTGGAGTGGCGCGCCAGCTTGAGGATGCGGAAGATGCGCATGAGGCGCATGATGCGCAGCACCTGGCCCACCTTGCCCACGCGGCCCACCGTCTCCAGGTCGTGCTCGCGCGGCGAGCCCTTGCCGTGCCGCTGCTCCTCGCTAGTGAAGCACTCGAGCAGCAGCTGCAGGTAGAGCGGCAGGATGGCCACCAGGTCCACCAGGTTGAGGGCGCTGCGTGCGAAGCGCCGCAGGTCGGGCGTGGAGACGAGGCGCAGCAGGAACTCGAGCGTGAAGAACGCCACGCACAGCATCTCCACGTGCTCCAGAATGGGCCGCGGGTCGCCGCCCGTCCCCTGCTCCGGCTGGTGCTGCATCTCCTCCACGGTGTTGAGCGCCAGCGCCACGACGGAGATGAGCACGAAGAGGTTGGAGGCCACCCCCATGGCCTTGGCGGCCACCGAGGAGAAGGGCTTCTCCATGAGGTTCCAGAGGCGGCGGCGCTGCGGCCCGTAGAAGCGCATGTCGCGGAAGAGCTCCTCCGCCTCCTCCGCCTGCGCCTGGGCGCGCAGCTCCCGCTGGATCTTGAGCTGCTCGCTCAGCTCGTCGCGCCGCTCCTCGAAGCAGATGCGGCAGCAGCGCGGCGTGTACTTGAGCCGCACGCCCCAGTAGCCCAGCTCCTCCAGGAAGCTGCGCGGGCACAGCTCGTCGCGCACCAGCAGCACCCCTGAGGTGTAGAAGTTGTAGATGAGCTGGAACACGGCCGGGTCGCGATCGAAGAAGTACTCGTCGGTCTGGGCCTCGTAGTCATCGCACAGGCCCAGCTGGCGGCTGCGGCTGGTGGAGGTGGCCAGGCGGCCCAGGCGCGTCTTGGGGTAGCTGGACAGCTCGCAGTAGTCCAGCTGATAGCTGTGGCCGCCCACGTTCACGTTTAGCGTGGACAACTGGGCTGGAGTGTCAGTGCCGCCCCCCGGCTGGGTGGTGGTGACCGCTTCCGGCTGCTTGTCCTCCTCGGCGAGGTCGTCTTCCTTCCACTCGTCCTCCTCCCCTGCATCCTCGTCCTCCTCGATGTAGTAGTTATAATTGCCCTCGATCCATGGTGTGAAGCTGGCCTGAGAGCCAGACCGGGCCCCTGTGGAGCAGATGCTCCTTCGGTGTTGCTCGCTCACTGTGTGCGGCTCCCCTTCACACTCAGAAACACTCCAGCGCCTGTAGCTCCAAGACCGTCTCCTCTCGTTGCTTTGCTTCAGCATGACTGCAGGAGGTGGACTCCTTGCTTGTCCCTGCTGGTGGTCGTAGGGTCCCTAGTCTGCTCACTGGCCTTGCAGAGACATCAGCCTGCATCAGCAGACCTGGGGTCGCAGGCATAGGCTTCAGAGTTGACCCTCAGGCTCAGGAAGCCCAACCTAGGCTGCTGATCTGAATGCAGCCAGCAGAGCACTGTTGACTAATCTTGCTGATAGGGAAGAAGTGTTAGGAGGGATTTGAGGCCTCTTATCCTGTTCTCTCCACCCCTCACCCCCATCTGACCGGAGGATGATTACGTGGTCTTAAATCTCTAGATAATCAGAAGGAGGCAGAGATTATTGCTAATAAAAACGTCGGTCAACCTTGCTCCCAGGAGGTGCTTAGGGAATGTGTCCTGAGATAAAATCAACTGAATTAGCTATAGCATATGCCTATGTCTTGGAGCTTAAGGACTGAGAGAGATTGCAGCCTCTGCCCTAGGTAAATCCACCATTTAACAGGGCTGACAAACAGCAGAATGATGACTTCATGGCAACTTAGTTTTCCTCTGAAAGTAGTTTTGTTTAGAACCTAAAAGATCTTAACCATCTCCTTCCCATCGATTTACATACTCACATTTTTCCACACGGATTCTCAGCAGCAGCACCGCTCTGGAGTCCTCAGTTCTTCAAGTCCGTTTCAGCTTCTTTCTCTGAAAAGACATGTTTCAAAGTATAATACCAGGATGATTCCAAAAAGTCTTCTAGGGTCTTATGTATGCCAGACTTCCTTTGAAGAAAAGGATTTTCATCATCCTTAAAAACATAAAAAAGTCATTTGAACAATGACTTTGTATGATTGAGAGCACTGTGCCAATGTTGGAAATGCCAGTGTGATCGAGATGTAGTGCTAGCACTCAAGGAGCCCACGCTTTTATTGGCGAAATCAATATGCAAGGACAGCAAAGGAACAGGTGAAACAAACGGGTGCGGTAGAGAGGAGGCAAAGAATGTATTGAGCAGGGAATAGACTTTGATTCAATTCATTTTGAATAGCTAATATATGTTCATGATAAAAAAATTCAAAGATACAAAGACACATCACAGTAGAAACTTTATCTCCCACCCCTAACCTCTGACCATCAGATGTGTCTCCATGGAAGACTACTATCTGGCTATGCTTTCAGGAATGTTCTCAACATCTATAAGCAAAAATCAACCCATCTCCATTGATCATCTGTGACTAGGTTTTGTTCACAGATCACAGAATGCTATGTACTTACCTTTTCTCTGATTAACTCTGTCTTAGAAGTGTTGTTATGTCTGAACATAAATATGTGTCTCATTTTGAAAATAGGTTGTGATAGATTATCAGGTTGTTCTCTATCTTTGTTCGTATAAACAATGGAGCAATGAATAATTATACTACTTTAAACATGTTCCATGTATATGAAAGATAAAGTGTTAGAGGCAGAATTACTAGGTGAATGACCACATATTTGAAATTTTGATTTTGTCAAATTTCCCTTCACAAAAGTTTTACTAATTTGCAATTCTCCATCAATAAACTGAAAGGTATTTGCACACTTTTTCAACTATACCCATCTTATAGGTGAAACTGACATACAGGTTAATTTTAAAGTGTAGTTTTCTTAAGAATGTGAACATTTTTAGAACTATTGTATTTGTTTTTCTGGGAACTGGTGTTCATACATGTTCATATTTTTCATTCAGTTGTTGATATTTTTCCTATCAATTTATAGGAGAGCTTAATAAATTATGAAACAGATTTTTCACCTATGATAGAGATTGGGAATATTTTTTTCTAGGCTTATTGTTTGGTGAGATTATCCCATGCACAATGTTAGTTTTATTATTTCCAGGTGCTATGTCGTATTAGCAAGGTCTTTATCACTTTTGTTTATTCTCACTTTTATTCTTTGTCACATTTTAAAGAATAAAACTTTCTTAAAGTTTCTTACAGTTCTATTTTTCAAATTTGAAAAAAAAAAATGATTCACTGGGAAAGAATTTGATGTGAAGAGTGAAGCAGTGAACCAATTTCATTCTCGCAGTTTTTGTCCTGATGGTCTAGCACATTAATTGAATAAGTTGTCTTTTTCTCACTGATCAGTGGTGCTTTTTCTGCTCTTAGAAGTAAGTAGGTAGTTCAGTTTTGATTACATTTTAAAGTTATCATGCCAGATAACTATAGTGATGGGGTCTGCACTCTCTGGCATAACATTCACTGATGTTGTTCAGCTTGCAATAGGCCTCAGACCCACAGGCTTATAATAAAGCTTCTTACCAGGCTCAGCCTTGTAGCTCATAAATGTATTCCTAGTGTTCTGCTGTCTGCATACAATATTGATATGGTTTCTCCTGACACATAATTCACCATTTTCCTATTTCACATTTTCTTTGTATAATGCTTAGTGTTGTCATCACTGTTTTCACATATTGCATACATTTACTTTTTTCCTTTGGGACCAATTATTATAAAAAATAAAAGTATCACATTTTTATATTTGTAATTTCTTCTCTTTTTGCTGAAGGGATGTGCTACTTCTTACCTGAACTTTCAACACTCTCACAGTCTTTGCATTTTAGAAGTACCCAATTTTTGTAGTGTTTGTAAGGTATCTCAAATCTGAGCACAACAGCACAATATGCAGTAGAATGAACACTATGTTATTGCTCTGATAGACCACAATTAAATGACTCACAACCCAAACACCTACACTGGTGTGGACATGTTGCATGGATTTTACTCTGAGTGGATCTGTGTATGTGAACACTTTGTAATAAGAGGTATGTGCAGCAGTGGAGTGGGTGGATTTATCAAGTGGAAAGTACATTAAAGAACCTATGAATGCACTCCAAAGAAGACCTTTGGTTCAGACGAAATCTTCCTTTCAGTGACCCTTTTCTGAGGTGTCCCTGTTCTCCAAAGTGAGTTGGCCATCCCTTCTCAGTGTTCTTATCTGAAAGACTATGTACAATTAGCCTCCAACATGAGACACTATTTTAATGAAGAGTGACTAAACTCTTTTCTCTGTGAAAGTTGCATAAGAGCAATTTCCAAATGGACAAGAGAATGATCATAAGGTATTAATAGTAACTAAAATGCTCAGATACTGTACCAGGTCAGTGCTTGCACCGACCCTATAATATAGGTGCTACTGGTTACTCCTACTTTATGGATTAGAAAACTGTGGAACAGAGAAATTAGGTGTCTGTCTTAAAGTTCTTATCTAGAATAGCATTACAGTACTTTATTAGTATTTGCTAAAAGATCATTGAGAATGGTGTTACATTTTTGCTTTAACCAACTCTAATGATACATTCATGTGTTACCCATTAGCTTCCTCTACTCCAATATTAAGGATTGAACTCAAGGCCTTCACATTGAGCTGTATCTCCAGCCCTTATTAATTTTTTTCTTTTGAGACAGTCTCTTGCTAAGTTCCCCAGGTGGGACTTGAACTTTCAGTCTTCCTACTCAGCTTCCCAAATTGCTGGACTTCTAGGCATGTGCCACCATGACCGGCTCCATTAGAATTGTGAAGAGTAAGAGCAATATTAGTTCTGTGGCTGCAGTGCCAAGAAAAATCTAGAATATAGTGGATTAAAAAATATCTAATGGAACACAAGATATTTCTGTTTGTTATAGCTGAATGTGAAACTACAGTTGTCTCAAAATTAAAAAGTTAAAAGTTATGTATTGCTGTACATTGACATAGCTTTGAGCCTTACTTTGGAGGAAAACTGGTATGTTTTGAAGAACTATGGCTGCTAGTCCTACCCGATTTTTTTTAGTGACAGATTTACCAGTAACATAGCACAGTAAAAAGAATCCTGGAATTCAGATAGAATTGATTTTGTATTCTGGTTTTAAAATTTTAGACAGGGGCTAGGGATTTAGCTCAGCGGCAAAAAGCGCCTGCCTGGCAAGCGCAAGGTCATGAGTTCGGTTCCCGGTACTGGAGAAAAACCAAAAAAAAAAAAAAAAATTTAGACAAATTAGTCTCTTTAGTCTTTGATCATCTGTAAATGGGTTACCGAAATATTTCCTGCTAATCTCAAAAGAGAATGCCTCTCCATTTTATTTCTATTTGATTACCTCTGCCCAAATGTGGGAATGTAATGACATTTGTCAAGGATAGTCATCTTTCATTCATCCAGGCCCTCCTGCCCGAAATCCTGGTTTTATACCTATAGTGCTTAATTATATTCATTTTTAGCACAGGTAGCATTTCTCACAGAAATAATGGTTTCATTCACAATCTACTATTAGAAGAAACTTCTTTATGTTAAGGCAGCACTGAGTAGAGTTTTCTATGTTGATACTAATTAAAATTAAACAGCCACATGCAGCTAGTGGCTACCATCTGGGCATAATGTAAAGTTTAAGAATTATAAATGTGACTGAGTTCATCATGCTTAAGGAACACTGAACATTAACCTCTTACTGAAATGAATTTAGAAACTGGACTACCACTTCCAAGACTAAAAGGGCAAAGGTAATTTTAATGGGACAATGAATAGAGAAATAGAATAGAATTGAGAAACCTGAGTCCTTAGACAACAGGTTTGGAAATGGAGGCATTTCAGAATAGATGCAGCATAGCTTGGTGCTATGGTATAGATCTTGTGTATCTCTCCCAAAGCCTATGTATTAAAGGCTTTGCTCCCAGTTTGGTGCTGTTGTGAGATGGCAGAAACTTTAAAAACTGGGACCTTGTGGGAGGTTTGCTTGTTACTGGGTTGTAGGGGTGCCCTTGTGTGACACCAGTTTTTCCCTTTCTCTGTTTTGCTCAGGAAGTGAATGGATTTGGTCTACTGCACATTTCCCACTGTGATATGCTGTCTTGTCACAGTGGGAAAGGCAATAAGCCTTCCCAGCTGTTCTAAATCTCCAAAACTATGAGCCAAGACAAACCTTTCCTCTTTATACACTGACCATCTCAGATATTTTCTTTCAGTAATGGAAAGCTGAATAATACACTTGAAGAGAGAGTAGTATA